AAAAAGAAACGTGTGACAAAAGTGGCACCTGCTCTGTAAAACCACTAACAGGGTGAAAAATATTACTATTGTAGGCAGAGACGGGCTACAACTCCTGGATCCATTGTATACAAATAGTTTTATTGATTATCTTCTGTTGAGAGATAACTTTGACGTACACGAGTGACCTGTATGGCTGCTGTCACCTGCTGTGACTGGTTAAAGCAGATGTCTGCTGCGGCTCCCAGTGTTTTCTTTGTGGGAAACAGGTATAATGGCTCTTTGATGGGAAAAGGTTGCCGACCCATGGATTAGGCAGTTAATTGTTTGTGCTTATTTGTAGTAGAGCCCTGCACGGGCCTAAAATCTGAGCCCGTGTCCGGCCCGGCCCGAGGGGGTGGAGCCCCAGCCCGACATGGCCCGAAAAGGTTTTCAGGATTCTCTGGCCCGGCCCGAGCCTGAGCCCGACTTTTTTTTTTCAACCAACGAAATGAAAACAAAGTGCGTCAATCCTGACCAATGTGTTAAAAGTCGTGCAGGATCCGATCGATTTGTTTTTCCCTCGTTTACCGTCACGGAGATAACGGCGCACTGGCTCTGGTGGTAATCAAGTTAAATTTGATCTCTTTCCAACAATTTTCACAAGAAAACAAAACAGTCAAAAGCAGGGCGTGTTGTGTTGACTGAATAGTTCCCGTATTTGACGGTTTATTTTGACGGAGAAAGAATAGAAAGAATTACCCCGACGCATGCAGACGAACTGACATTTTATTCATTACGCACATCGCAGATGTAGCTAAATCACCCAAGAAAAGATTTCCTTCTGAACATCTGAGCTGCTCAGCGCAGCTCGCTGTCAGCGCATATGTGCACAGCGAGGCGAGCTGAAGTTGTGGAGAGGGGTTTGGAGCGCATCGCAGAACCAGAGCGCATGCGGGAAGATTCCTCCCACTGAAGCGAGTGTTTTCCAAACCCTGTCTCTCAGAGAGACTTGTCACTTAGAAAATGTTCCCTGATTATGAAACTTTGGCTGAATAGTGCTTGATCCTGTCTCCAATGTGGCGACACATCCAGGAGGAGAATCCCAGAATCTCTTCAGCTCACAAGCGTGACCCGTCAACCCGGTCTCACAGTAAGACTGGGTTGGACCTGTTCAGGTTTACGCAGACAATCTTTACATTTAGAATTGACTTACAGATATAAAATTAATTCAGTAAAATATAAAGTATTTTATTTAAATATCCATTCATTATTTTACAAGCACAGAGAGCCGCATGAGATGGATGGAAGAGCCGCGGGTTGTGACATGTTTTCTCCAGGACCAGAGAGGACGCAAACTCGATACATCTCTTTTATTGTGAGGTAATAATTTCTCAGAGTTTTGCGGTTGTGGGCGGGAGTAGACATGCACGCTGCAGGTGCGGGCGGGAGTGTAACACACACGTTGCAGTCAAGGGCGTCAGTTTGTTTTCAGAATTGCTGAGGACAATAACCATACACTTGAGTTGGGTTTAAAATTTGCTGGGGACAATAAAGTTGGCTAGCACAGGGGTCGGCAATCCGCGGCTCTGGAGCCGCATGCGGCTCTTCCATTCATCTGATGCGGCTCTCTGTGCTTGTAAAATAATGAATGGATATTTAAATAAAATGCTTTATATTTTACTGCATTAATTTTACATCTGTAAGCTAATTCTAAATGTAAAGATTGTCTGCGTAAACCTGAACAGGTCCAACCCGGTCTTACTGTGAGACCGGGTTGACGCGTCACGCTTGTGCGTAATCATATGCGCTTCCTGAGCTGGAGGATGTCAGATTCTGGGCTTCTCCTCAGACAGGTTCCTGGATGTGTCGCCACATTGGAGACAGGAACAAGCGCTATTCAGCCAAAGTTTCATAATCAGGTGTGGTAGTGTGAGCGTCCTGTCACAGTGTCCCGATAGATAATGCGCCCTGGCTACTTGGCCAAGGGGATGTCCCTTTGGCTGACTGGTTAGAGTGTATGACTCTCACCCGGGAGTCTGGAGATCGAATCCCGCCCGGGCCCTCGTTTCTCCACCTTGCCACGTGTTGACGGATGAACTCAAGGATGTTGGTTGTTTTGAAAGAATTACCCCGACGCGCATGGATGAGCTGACATTTTAATCGTTACGCACATTGCAGAGGTAACTTGATTCCCATCAGAACATCAGAGCTTTATACTGGACACTGTGTTCAGCGCGGCTCGGAGCGCCCACGGTGGACAGTGGGCTGAAGATCTGAGGGGTTCGCAGCGCAGCGCAGAACCACGATGCATGCGATAAGATTTCCTCCCACTGAAGCGTTCTGGAAACCCGGTCTCTCTGAGGGATGTGTCACTTGGAAAAATGTTCTTTTTATGAAATAATGAAACTTTGGCTGAACAGCGCTTGTTCCCTTCTCTAATATGGAGACGCATTACGCATCCAGTCTGAGGCAGAATAGCTCTTCAGCTCATAAAGCACCTGTAGAGACATTTGATTACGCACAAAGTTTATGTGGAGCAGAAGCGGTCAGGCCATGGCAGGTGAAATGTTCCTAGCCTACATGAAGTGAAACTGTTTAATTGTAACATTAATATGTTACTGGACACGCTGGTGTGGTTGGTTAGACCAGTGTTTGAAGTGGAAAACACACACACACACACACACCAATTAAAATAATGCTGATAGCGTGGACTAGAAGACAGGTGATGTTTACGTATTTAAATGATGATCAGGCTGCTGTAAAGTGTAATCTCCATCCACATCCAGACACATTTATCCTCTATTCTTTCTCTATTTGCTCTGCTCTTGTCTGGGCTGACGTAGCTGATGGTGCGCGCGGCGCGCCTAACTAGCGGCTGATGCACATTTTATGCATTTGGAGAGGTGGGCTGGATGCTTTGCTTTTACTGGAAGATGGTCCACTTAACGCACGGGTGTAGACTACATATTAATGACAAATGAATGAAAATTAAATTGGGAGTTTTTACTTCATATTTTAGAAATAAAAATGATGGGGGAATGCATTTATGACGTCTTTTTAAACTAAATTTTCTAGCGCGACCTGCCTGCTTCACTAAGTCACTGCTTATTAAGGTCCGTCCAGAATTACCGTGGCCCACCCAAAAATGAAAACCTGGCACCGCGCCTGTTATAAACCTCTGCAAATGGTTGTTCTTCACTTTATCAAACTCAGACTTTGTACAGCTAATGTCAAGATGTAAAATTATGAATTCAGTCGAGCTCTTCCGTCCCTCCCTCTCCTGCTCTCCTGGAAACCCGACATCGGCTGTCAGAAGCGGGAGGTGAAGAAGGAGATGAGGCAAACAGAGTGAGTGCGACATAGAGAAACCAGACTGGAGTGGAGGTGAGCAAACAGCTGGAAAAGTGTGGGTGTTGAATCCCCCACGGATGCGACGCCCATGCGAGCGACCGGTTCCTGCTGCTGTCACCTGGTTGTGAGCAGCTCTCTGCTGTCTGAGGGTAGGCCCCGCCCACAACGCTGCATCTGCTGTGGCTCCCAGTGTTTTCTTTACTGTGGGAAACGGGTAATAATGGCTCTTTGATGGGAACAGGTTGCCGACCCCTGGTATAAGATCTGAGCTGGTAAAACAAAAATCCTCATCAGCAGGCATTTTTTAAAGTGGGGGGGACACAGCTGCCAATCACAAATTTTGCCGGGGACATGTCCCCGGCGTCCCCGGTTAAAATGACGCCTATGGTTGCAGTTGCAGGCGGTAATTGTCAGAAATTCAGTGGGAGCGGGCAAGAGCGGGATGAAGAAAACAGTCCCGCGCAGGGCTCTACTGCTGCGTTTGTGTTTCAATTTTTAAAATGAATTCGATTAAAAATAAAGGCGCCCGGCCCGGCCCATGTCCGAGGTAATTACACAGTTGTTGGCCCGAAGCCCGGCCCGAGGGCCGTCGGGCCGGGCCGACCCGAGGGCCTAGGGCTTCAGTGCAGGGCTCTAGTTTGTAGCAAGGTGGATGTAAAATAAAATATAAACAAAAACCGTTGGGAAAAGAGAGCGAGGTAGAGGGGCCGCAGCGGCCGAAGCAAAGAAAATCTTTTGTCCCTTCATCCCCAGAAATCTCACTCGGAACTTTTCTTTTAACTTGAGAGCTCTGTTTATAATACAGATTATTTAAGCTGCTACTAGTCTTTATAAAATATATATTTATAGACATTCTTTACAAAATGCCTTTTGATAGCAATAAACAGCTAAAGTTTTAGTTAGAAAAACATTTCTACCTTAGAAAACTCCATTGCTAATGCTAGCTCAAAGTAGCCATTGTCTCTCTGTTGACTGGGCTTTCTCTGCGCGTGCACGTTAGAAGGCTTTCTGCTCTTTCAGGAAGGGCAGGGGAGGAGTCCTACAAAAGTCAAAATCCCATTTTCCTCTGCTTTATGAGGTGAATCTTGCAGACCACAGATTCAAATGTATGTGTGAACTGAATAATGAGTCAACCGTAGCATTGTACTTCCCTTAATTAGTTGTGCAGAACAATAACAGCAAGTTAACTGTCAGGATTGCTTGTAAGCTGCCTAAACTATAAACACGTTCAAGTGTAGCGTGTTGTCTGAGCCTCTATAAATGTGTGTGTGTGTGTGTGTGTGTGTGTGTGTGTGTGTGTGTGTGTGTGTGTGTGTGTGTGTGTGTGTGTGTGTGTGTGTGTGTGTGTGTGTGTGTGTGTGTGTGTGTGTGTGTGTAAAAATATAGCAGAAAAAAATCCTGCTCCACTGAGAGGTAGAAGTGCTGGTACTGCCGGTCCATATCAGCGGTGTTTGACACAGAAACTATGTGTTTTACTGACGTTGAACACCGGTGGATTTCATCATGGTCTTTTTGTTTTGTGGTGATGAACTAAAATATTTTGGATTGAAACTCAACCAGAAGCTAAAACCAAAAAGGTGTCACCAAATGAGATGAAAACTCTAGTGCAAAGTGTCCCTTAGACTTTTCTCACACATATGGGGGAGGGGTTAAATGTGGGCAGGGATTTTAGTTTGTGGAGGGCATGTCTTCCAATAGTCCCCCTCCCTCCCTCCTCTATCCCAGTCTTCGTTCCTTTTATCTGAGTGCTGTGGCCCCCACATTGTCAAAGCGACTCAGGGCTGAGGAGCGTCACATGGTAAGAACATCAGGCCTCTGCTTACTCTCAAACATTTAACTGCATTTCTGCAACCTACCAAAACCAGAGCCACAAGGAAGGATTTGTTTTCGTTATGACTTATTGATGAGGGTGGATAGATCTGGATGGAGGAGGAGGAAGAGGAGCTCTGAAAGGATTAGTTTTGTTGTGGCTCTTTGTGTCTTTGTTTCATGTTGTTCTCATCTCCCAGAATCTCTAGTTGGACATCTGCTGTTTTTCTTTATTGTGAGATTTTTGTTCCAGAAAATACCAATGAAAAAGCCGGCGGAGTGAACTTACCATAGCTTACTTTCAGTTTGTACATTTTGTTTTTATATGTCACTTTATAGAAAGTGGAGATGGGGGGTTAGTTAGAATCATAATTCATGCCAAACAGCATTTTGTTTTTCATTAAACCTTTAGTGAATTATATTTAACTAAAATTCACACAGGTGGAAGTAGACCTGTTTTAACAGTGATTTGATTAAAACACTTAGAATGAATGAATGAATAAATAAATATCTCAGCTGAGGACATCCATAATCCATCATCTACGTCACTGCTTTTTTGTAAGTCAGTGTGGTTATGTTCGCCAAGAAATTGAATTTTAAAATGTTTTTACTTAACATTTAAAACAATTGTAACGTATCTCTATTTATGCTTTAGTAAAACATTTCAGAAGGTGCTTCTTTGCATTGACAGTCTGCTGCAGCAGCGGAGAATCATACTAAATGGTTTCAAATGGCCCGTACTCCCTACTTAAAGAGCAAGTCACCCCCAAATTCACTTTTTTTTTGCTGATAAACTATATAAATGAGTTTCTAATCATGCCGTAGACATGTGTAGTCAATAATTTGGCACTTTAGTGCATCTTTGTTAAAATTTTAATATTCTGCCTAAAACTGTCAGTGCTGCGCCACCTCAGGTAAAAATTCTGCACTACATTTGAATTTAAATCTGCCACCGCTACTGGCTAAGAGGTACACTATGACATTAGCTGGTACATGATGATGTCACAATGCTGTTGTGAGCCAGTTTGCGTGTATTTGTTAGTGGCTCCACCCTCTCGGTCTACCAGGCAACAGCATTTGTTGCATTTTTCAAACGTGAAGTGGGAGTGGAGTGAGTTTCTTGTAGGGGTTGACTTGCTCTTTAACTCAGCCCTGGCATACTGGGATCTACTGGTTGTTTAAACAGAACATCTTTTGTATAATTCATTCTGACTGGATGTTTACATGTTGGAGTGTGCAACTCATGAGTGGAGATGTTTGTAGAGGAAAGGTGCCGTGTGCTTGCCCATTTGCTTTTGATCTGTACTTTAGAGTTAAATGTTTGTTTCTTCTAGAAGCTACTGTTGTCCTTACATGTGCCTGTCTTTGATCTATAAGTGTTGCTCAGAGTGTTGTTGTTCTTAAGATCTTTGCAGTCATCTTTGTTATAAGTTCTGTATTTCTGAGCTGCACAATACTTTTTTCTTTTCAGTCTTGTGCCTTTTAAACTTGGTGTCCCTCCCCAGCCACCATGCGTGCTGCTCCCTACGGTGTCCTCTTCTTCTTCTGTCTCATCCTCCTTTCTGAGGCCAAACGACAATCTGGTCAGGACAAACGGGACAAACCCCGCCAGCCTGAGCCATCAACTCAACCAGGCAAGAGAGCCAGAAGCCGCTCGGTGCTCAGCTCCGGAGAGCTGAGCACCAAGCGGGGCCATCGCTGCTCCTGGCAGACGTCTGGAGAAGGTCTGGTGAGTCTGCTGGTGAACTGCAGCACTGAGACTGACGGAGACCTGGAGAGGTGAGGTGACAGCAGCTCCACACAGTTCACTTCCACAGACACACAAGTGGAAACATTAGAGACAAAAACATCTCAAATACTAAAAGTTAACATTTGGAAATGAAAGGTAATAAGAAAAGGCCTTTAAAAAAAACATTGACGCAGCCACTTTCAAACAGAAAACATGCTGCAAGAAATCTGGAGACTGCCTGGCCAATCAGAAAGCTGGGATTGTCCCGCCTTGTGGGCAGCAGACAGGTTGAGAGACAGGCTGAGACATGGTGGCACAAGCTGAAGGAACCACAAACAAATAAATTAATACAAGTCAGTGTGAGTAGGGACCCTACGTCTCCTACTTTCCGGTTGGCTGATGGGTCTCCGGAAGAAAAAAATGAATGTAAGTCAACGGGGCTAAAAACGCTATTTTCTAATCCGCTTTGCCTTACGCCCTGGATCTCACAAATGTTGTTCTGCAATTTTAATGAAAACTAATGATGGCCGTTTTCCCCACGCCTGTTACGTACTTTGAGATTCAGCAGCTTGTAAAATTTCATAATTAGCATGACTGCAAACCAGACATCAGCGCGTTGCATATGTAGCGTAGCTGCTACGTACCACATGGCCAGATTTATGGTGGTTCTTTCCTCCTGAAGAAGGATTTTAAGTTTGCTAAACTTACAGCCATTCTCTCTGTTTTACTCCGAGTGTGGTTCAATGACATCACTTTGGTGATGCACATTTGTAGTCCTGGACTTATTTTCACACAAAACCTAAAACAGTGTTTCCCCCTGTTTGAAAATAAGTGTGTTCTTGATATCAAAATGCGTCTTTAAAATTCACAGACATCATGTGTGAAATCCTTGGCACAAGCGGAATTAGAAAATAGCGTTTTTTAGCCCCATTGACTCTTTATCTTTTTCTCCGGGGACCCATAGTCCGGAAGAAGATGGACTTAGGCTCCCTATTCTAATGGACAGAACTCTGGTGTCATAAGGGGAGGGGCCAAAGTTAAAGAGTTGAATAAAAATATAAATGCAGTTCTTTCTACTAGGTCTGTCACCATGGGTACTTGAAATGCCAAGAGAAGTAACAACGCACTTCCCAGCAGTTTGATTGAATAAATGTGTGTGTGCCTCCTGTTGTAGCAGTAATCCTGAAGGTTTAGCAGCCTTTACTGCATTACTGACACCTTTTAGAAAAACAAACGGTTAATTGTACGTTTTTTTATTTTGTTTTTGTTTTTTTTTACTAAATCTTTGAATGACTAAATCCAGCTTCAGAACATTTTACAATATGAATTCAATATAAACTAAACCAGAACCAGTCCTCCCAAGAACCTTTCTGTAATCTGTTTGACCCCATCTGTCTCTCACTTTGTTCTGCTCCACTAGCCTTTACATAATGTCTAGGATCATTGAGGTTTACAGACATGTGGTTCTACTCAGTTCTATGTAGGTCTATTACAGCATGTCACTAATCTTCTGGTCTGAATTTGACCTGGACCATTGCTGCTCCTGGATTATGTTGGAGATCTGCTGCTGTCTTTGATCTATTTTCTGATCCCGTTTGGGCCAGATGAACTCACATCAAAACATTAGAGTGAGTCCTGTAGATGCAGAACCAGTCCCAACCATCCGGCCTCCATCATGTTGACAGCTGGAACCTTCTGTTTGCTGATTTGTTGTGTTTTGATTTATCCAGACATACTGCAGTGTATTATGGGTAAACATCTCTACTTCAGGACAATGTTGCAGATGTTGTGTCGTTTGTTCTGGTTCTGTGTTGTTCTACAGCCGGTCCAAACAATCCACTCGTCATGACTTTTAACCTATGACCTGCTGACTAAGGTCTGTAGACCCAGAAATGTTTCTTGGGGTTGATCATTGCAGCCTAATCTATGGCAGTGGTTCCCAAACTTTTCACCATCAAATCCACGAAATAATGATTGTCAAGACATGCGACCCCAGATCTCTCTGATTTGACACAAAACACAGTAAAAGGTAAATCATTCAATGTGTAACGGGATGTATGTGGTTACACTTACGAAATGATCAATAAGATGTGATATTCCATATAAATATGAATTATCAGTCTGATTGGTCTTTGATCATTTGATTTAATATTACCTTTAGGTTATTTGGACCATTCAGGGAAACACACACTTCATATTAATTCAGGCAGTCAAGGATATAGTTTATAAAAATGAATTTTATTCTATATTTCTAAGCTAATGATGACACAGATCAAATTATGATGAATGATGGTAGGACAACAGAACTGAAACAATGAATTAAATGATGGAATGTAAGCTTAGATGTTTTGTAGCAAAACCTTATTAAGTATCTGAGAGATCTTGTGATGTCTGGGTTGTAAAATCAGTCTGACTGTATGGTTTAACAAGCTACCAATTATCCATTAAACCATCCGACACCAGTGTGCAGGTCTATGATACCCTTGTGTGACGGCAGCTCTCGGCGGTCCAGAGGAAAGGCAGTCAGAGTGGAGATGTCTCCAGATGGAGTGGCTCCTGGAATCTCAGAGTCGTAGCTCCCTTTGAATTCAATTATCACCGGCCATAAGATGCTAGGAGGGTCTGCTAGTTAAACATTCCATGTCTGATGAGCTGTTGCAAAGAGGCTTTGACCCTGAGTCAAAAGAGATGATGGTTCCAAGTGCTTTGCTCACCCGTTCGGCCTAAAGAGTAAGCTGGCTAAGATGCTGAATAGTCCAGGAAGTGAACTAGCATTAACTAACTAGTGTTTACAAATTTAGACAAATCAGAATTTGACAAGTTTAAAGGCATAACCAAAATACCTCAGTCATCCCTCCTCCACCCTGATACTTAGAGAGGTTATTTCATAATAATAATATGTTGTGTGAATATACTGATAGATTAACATTAAATTCAACAATTATTAATCTGGTGTAATTTAAGATCTGAAAAAAATCCTTACAGGAATAACTTTCATGTTAACCCATCATTCATTAAAGCATTGGACTCATTATTAAAACACTTTGGATTTAAACATGTTGTTCATTCAAAAAATATGATTATATAAACTTATATAACACAAATTCTAAAATCATTTGTGAACCAGGGAAGATAGGCTTTATTCAAAGAAGAGAGATAAGAAGTCCTGCGTCTTCTGCAGCCCTGATGATGTTGTGACGCACCACAGGATAAGTTAAGAATAACGGGGCAAGTTCATAGACTTCATATCAGCACCACGGTGTCAGGTTCACTTGTATGAAGAAGTTTGGTCTGTAAGTTAAAAGTTAACTTCTGGTCATTTTGATGAAATACTTGGCCATTTGCTATGCTACAAGGGCATAAAGAAAAATGCTTCTACTCATCTTCACCTATGTTATGACAGTTAAGCTGAGTTTTTGTAACAATTATGATAGAAATATAGCTTCAGCAATTATTTTTCTATTTTATTTAGATTTGTGGAAATCATTTAAAGACCCCATGTAGCTCTTGGTGGCCCACAGTGGGGTCCCAATCCCAACTTTGGGATCCACTGTTCTACAGAAACTCCAGTAAAATAAATGTGTTGTTGAAATCCGTTTTAATGTCAGGTGGCTCATAATTCAAAGACATTAAAATGTCTTTAATAGGTTTGTGTTCAGCCTCCACATCTTGTGTTCTAACTGTTTCATTCTTTGTGTTCGGGGTCCTGCTTCTCCTTCAGGTACTGGTGTCGTTATGCTGGTAAACCAGACCTGTGCCAGGCCTATGGGATGAAGTCCAGCCAGTACTGGAAGCAGCTGGTAGGAAAGCTGAAGAAAAGGGAGAATGCCTGTGAAGGAGAAAAAGTCCTGAAGGCCAAAACATGTAAGAAGGCCCCTGCAGAGGCACACATGAAGCTGGCCCAACGCAACGGAGAGGAGGACAAAAAGGGAGGGAGGGAAGGAGGGAAGAAAAAAACAGCTTCTGGTGGGAAAAGCTCAGATGGGGGGAAGGCAGAGAAGAGAAAGAAGGAGAGGGATAATGAGGAAGAGAAAAAGAAGAGAGAAGAGAGGACTGAATCTGAGGATGAAGGAATGGTGAACGACATGGCGCCGGTGCAGACGTACTGCAGCGAGGGATGGCACTCTGTCTGCTCCTTCTTTGTCAAATTTTTTGAGGGTTAATAAAAAGTAGAGATTGTATTTTTCTCCGCAGGATGAAAGCATGAATTCACAATCTAAAAAACAAGCAGAACAGAAGACATGTTTTTATTATGCAGCTCATTCCCAGTGGTTTTAAACTGTCAAAATGGAAGCCTCTTCATCTTAAAACTGGTCATTTCATCTATTATTAACTTTTAGCTTTGCTTTGTATCTAAGTTAAAGTAAGGGGGGTATATATAAAAATACACGGAATTATTCGGATCTAACAGTTTAAATGAAGTGATTGAATAAAAATGTTCGCGAGAGTCATTTCTATTAGCCCCTCAGATGTCATGACATCAAACTTTCATATTTGACATTACGTTTTGTAAAATGGTGGTATTAGATGTCACGAGGGGTTTCTGTGGTTGTTATAGTGTGTTTAGTTTCGTAGAGGAACTTTTTAACCAAATACATTTGATGTTTGCATAGGAAGCATTCAGTCAGCTGAATGGTGTCATTATTCATAGTTACAGTCATTAGATGAAATCGTGGTGTTTTTTCATTATTTTCATACTAAAACATACTCTACATCTTTTTGTAAAAGAAATCTGCCAAAAGATGTCAGCTGATCAGTGGCAGTTTGACCATTTCTGCATTTTAAACTTTATAAAGAAATCTTAACAATGTCTACATCTGTTCAATAAACAGCTGTAATTACAAGCTCCTGTTCTTATGCATTTGAAAACATTTCATGGTTATGGTTAAAGTCCTAGCTGGTTAGGTTAAGAAAATTAAAATGCTTTGTTTGACTTAGGAAAATAAATTGTTTAGCTTTGGAGAAACTAAAGGAGTTTGGTTACATTTTAGAAACATAAACTACATGATTAGGTTCGGGGCATTACAGTTTTTCTCGGTTGCTAAAACACGTTTTTCAAAACTACATTTCTTTCAAAACTGCACACACAAAACCCCAAACATAACACACAAATTCCTAAACCGTGGCTTCCCTTTGCAACAAAACCCTGCCACCACATATCGTAACATGTTCCCAAACCAGAACACATGTTTTCATTTGGTAAACACAGCCACATTTATACATGACACACACATACCATGCATTGCTTAAACACAAGTAGCTGTTGGGTGAACACTACCAAGCATGGAAAGAACACTGAAGAGCAAAACTGAAAACACAATTGTCTAAATGGAACACAATAAATTACACACTGAATGTATGACAGTGCCCACTTTTCTCTGAGGCAAACATTAGACATCACACAAATTTTGAGACAAAAAATTTTATTGTCACAGTCCCCCCCCCCCCCCCCTCCCCCCACACACGCACACACACAAATTTTGAGGCAACACATTTTTTTTATTTTTATAGTTAACCCCCCACCCCCTCTCCCATTCAAGCATAATCTTGGGGCATAATCATGGGGCATCATGCCTCCAGTCTCTGTGTGGCCAGAGGGCCTCATCAACATCACAGGTGATGTCCTCCTGGTCCAAACAGCGCTGGAAGTACTGCCTCGAGTGCCTCATGAAGCCCTGACAGGCCTCAAAGGCCACATCTCTACAAGCCCCTGTTTTTTCAGCGCCTTGGGCTTCCCGACAGGGTTGCGGAAGGTGCTTTATAAATAAAGCTTTGATTTGATTTGATTTGAAGCCTCCTCCATGGCTTGAAGCGGTGGGACCTGGCTCTGTGGATTCCTTTCGTACACCTTCCACCTCCAGGCTGAGAAAAACTCCTCAGTGGGATTAAGAAAGGGGGAATAAGGTGGAAGGTATAAAATGGAAAACTGTGGGTGGTCCTGAAACCACTCATACACCTGGGTAGCCTTGTGGAAACTTACTTTTATGCTGCAGTCCCTGATTGCAAATTGCTCACCAGACCCGGAAGTTTAGAGATTTGAATATTTGTGTGCTGTTGATTGAAGCTTTGAGAATTTATGTGAGAAGTGTGTGTAAACCTGAAAATTTTGTGCTGTGTTTTGACAGCAAGGTAATGTGAAATTGACATCAGAGTGTAAAGGAGGAAAATCAGAGTTCTAATATGATAAGGAAATCTTAAGTAGTGATAAATTGAGTCAAGCGATTAGGAACAGAAGTAGAGGTTGTGAAAATTGTGCCTCATTTTTGCTTTTTGAGTTTTAGCAATCGAAAAAAACTGTAAGGAACTTTGTTAGATTTAGGGAACTAAAACAGTATGATTATGTTTTAGGAAACTAAATTATTTTAGTATTGGTTGTGTTTAGGAAATTAAAATGACCTGGTTAGGGGAACTTAAAATGTTTCATTAGGTGTAAGTATCTCATACCACTTGTTTAAGCTCAGGTACTTTTTGGTTAGGTTTAGTGATTTAACCTGTTTAAAGTACACTAAACAGTTTCCAATTTCTCCTCCCTACTGGTTGACAATGGAAATACACTTGTAATAAACAATTCTGCAGCAGCCTGCTGTAGCTAGCGCTAACAATGTCAGTGTGCTAACCCTATCATGAGCCATGTCTTACTAAATAAGCCACAAGTAAAAATGAATCCACACTCAGTGTGGTTACATATGCACTGATCGACATTTAAGCTGATCCAGGTAGATCTTATTGTAATAAACTGGGAGTGTTTATCCTAGTTTCCATGCACATTAGAAAACGTGCTTCTCAAACAAAGTTCATTCCACTTCGGTCCAGTAGGTTGCAACATGCCCCTTTTCATGTTGGCATTCTTCCAGTTACCTTATTAGCAGTAAACAAAGGCTAGCAGGAGTGAAGCAGATGTAACTGGGACAGGATATGTACAATGGCTGAAGAATTACGATGCTGCAGGAACACCTATAGGTACGTACTGTCCTGTTTTATATTGTTACGCATGTTGTTTTGTGACGATCTTGTCAAAAGACTACTTCCACGGTGTTGTCACTTCTGGAACACAAGCGTAGTTTGGCTAACCCGTTAGCTTATAGCAACACAAGCAGTCAACAAAGGCTGGCCAAATAACAAGTCCTTCCTGCTTAATGATATAATTCTTTCTAAAAACCTGGATTTTCTGGTTAGGTTTTAGTCCACTGACATCAAACAATGACTTTACACCTTTTTTTTCTAATTAGAAATAGGCTAGCCATAGCTCTTTACATCACAAGCTAGTTAATAGCCTGTTGTCTGTTTGAAGGCCTTTCACAAGTTTGTTAATTAAAATAAACAAATAATTTGTAACTATAAAAAACATCATTTCAAAACTGTTTGAAATCACTTGACTTATGTTTTATTTCATAGAAGAGGCGAAATCCAGTTTCAACTGATCAGGTCATAGTTCTTTAGGAAATGGACGTTTGTGAGGATTATGAAGCATTTTCGGACAATTGTTTTCAATACCACCCGTCACACACTGCACCCGACCCCTTTGGCCCCTCCCATGAGTGGTGAGCCCATGGGAAGGAGGACCCATGTTTCCCTTTCGGGCTGTGCCCGGCTGGGCTCCATGGGTGAAAGCCCGGCCACCAGGTGCTCGCCAACGTGCCCCACCTCTAGGGCTGGCTCCAGAGGGGACCCCGTTGACCCAAGTCCGGGCGAGGGAACACGGTTTCCATTTATATTATTCATCATAAGAGGTCTTTGGGCTTACTTAGCTCCTAAGATCATTAGGACACTCAAACCCTTCCACTACGGTAAGGTGCAAGCCCAGGGAGAGGCCGCAGGATTGACGGTAACTGTCGTGGCGGCAACCCCCAAATGCGCTGGTGGACACCGGTGGTTGGGGATGCCATCAAGCTGAAGAAAGATTCCTATCAGGTTTTTTTGGCCTGTGGGACTCCAGAGGCAGCTGACAGGTACCGGTAGTCCAAGCGGAATGCGGCTCGGGTGGTCCCCAAGGAAAAAACCCGGGCATGGGAGGAGTTCGGTGAGACCATAGAGCAAGACTTCTGTACGGCTTTGAGGAGATTCTGGTCCACCATCCGACGCCTCAGGAGGGGAAAGCAGTGAGCTACCAACACTATTTATAGTGGGGACAGTGTGCTGCTGACCTCTACTCAGAACGTTGTGGGTTGGTGGGCAGAGTATTTCGAAGACCTCCTCAATCCCATCGACATGTCCCACTGGACTGGCAGACCAGGGTGGTGGTTCCCCTATTTAAAAAGGGGGTGTGTTTCAACAACTAGGGCTGCAACAAACGATTATTTGGATAATCGATTAATCGGATGGGGTCTCGACACGATTAATCGATTAATCGGATTACATAGGGACATTTTTTAAAACTGCTAGGGAAACGTTATTTTTCTCCTTCCTTCCTTCACTTAAACACAACATTATTAGAAAACAGTTCAATAGCAGAAAACCAACATGCCATCACCTAAATTGTCTTATAAGGTGTATAGACAGAGACCTTAAGCTACACCTATCTGTGACCTAAAATGCTTGGTCCAAGTTAAACAGCTTAAAGAGCAAGTCAACCCCTACCAGAGTCTAACTCCACTCCCGCTTCATGTTTGAAAAATGCAACACATGCTGTTGCCTGGCAGACCGAGAGGGCGGAGCCGCTAACAAATACACACACACTCAGGCTCACGACAGCATTGTGACATCATAATGTACCAGTTTACATCATAGCATACTTCTTAGCCAATAGCGGTGGCAGATTTAAATTAAAATACAGTGCAGAGTTTTTACCTGACAACGGCACAACACTGCCAGTTTTAGGCAGAATATTTAAATTTTAACTAAGATGCACTGAAGTGCCAAATTATTGACGACACGTGTCTGCAGCACGATTAGACACTCGTTTATTTAGTTTATCAGCAAAAAAAAGTTTATTTAGGGGTGACTTGCTCTTTAAGGGCAATTCTCATCTGTTTTGTTTGATCTCATCTGTAGACATTTATTATAATTGGGGATGTCAAACAACTAATTTTTAAATGAAATTAAACATAGGCTGTGAATTAATCACTATTTCCAAAAATGACTGAAAAATACCAAATAAAACAAAAGTAAATGAATGCCATCCTCCTTGTGATGATGCCCTGGGCAACTGCCTTAAAGTCACATCAAGAGATGCTGCTGATCATTCCAATGATCCCAAATAGACTCACATTAGGACACATGAAAGCAACTGAACCCAAAAATATATTAACCAGTATATAACTACACGCACACAACACGCCTGCAGCAACAGTTAGGACTCCTCCCTCCCTTTTAAAAGCGTTTTCGCTTGTGAGGACACTGAGGTTGTAAAGCCACATGTTAGTAGTCTGGCCCCGGTGTGATCAACCAGTTTCTGCGGGAATGTGACGGCGGAACCGGTTCGCAGCGGCGCGAGTCCCCCCCCCCCCCCCCCCCCCCGCCTATCTAATAGCGTCGCGCTTACAATTTTATAGACTTTTTTACGAGCTTAGGGCATGTCTAGCCTGTGTAATAATCCGGGGCTTGGGTGAATCACTTTTGAAAAGTTTTTAACTTACCCAGACACCGAGCTCTCTCCCTCCTCGCTGATGATTCTGACATGCTTGCGTTTAAGATGCTGCATCATCACCGTAGTATCCCCGTGCCATGCTAAGTCTGACCTACAAACGTTGCATGTCTTCGCCTGATTTAACTGAAAATGCTCCCAAACTTTAGAAGTTTTTACTTTTTTGGGGTCTCGCTGCTTCTGCCATGTTCCTCTTACAAACACCTGCCGGCTCTCCACCGGTCTGCGCGCAACGGCGGGCAGGAGGGGAGGGGGCTTTTGGAAGAGTTGCGCAACACAACGAATCGATGACGCAATTCGTTGCCAACGCTTTTAGTAATCGATTTTCATCGAATTTATCGATTCGTTGTTGCAGCCCTATCAACAACACAAAATCAACTATGAGACCATCTAAACACTAATGATCTGTTTAAAGAATTTCAGTCCTGTTTTAGAGAGTATCACAGCACTGAAACCGTATTAGTGAGAGTTACAAATGATATTCTCATGGCCTCAGATAAGAATCTTGTGTCTGTTAGTCTTGTTAGATCTCAGTGCTGCCTTTGACACAGTTGATCACAATGTTCTTTTAGAAAGACTTGAACATGTTGTAGGGATCAAACGAACAGTACTAGGCTGGTTTAAATCCTATCGATCTGATAGTTTTCATTTTGTAAATGTACATGACAAATCTTCTTCATACTCGAGGGTTACTTGTGGAGTACCACAGGGTTCAGTGCTTGGACCAATTATTTTTACTATATATATGCTTCCAAATGGTAAAATCATTAGACAGCATGGCATTAACTTCCACTGTTATGCTGATGATACTCAGTTATATTCACCCATTAACCCTGATGAACCTAACCAGTTAGGTAGATTAAGGCTTGTCTTGAAGACATAAAAAATTGGATGACTCTAAACTTTCTGCTTTTAAATCAAGACAAGACTGAACTTCTCATCTTTGGACTCAAAATTCAGAAAAGAAAATTGCTTGGTCAATCACCTGACCTGAACGCCATTACATTAGTCTCTGTTAGGGAATTTATCAATTACCCAATGCCTGCAGTCGAAGAGAAAAGGAGACAATAAGCAGACAAGTCACCAAATTGCAATGAGGGGCAGAAGCTCACAGGCAACTGCCCAGAGCCTCTGCCCACGGAGTTTATTTATACAAGAACAAGAGATAAGAAAAGACAGTCTGTGAGAGAGACAGTGTGTGTGTGTGTGTGTGTGTGTGTGTGTGTGTGTGTGTGTGTGTGTGTGTGTGTGTGTGAGTGAGTGAGAGACAGTGTATGTGTTTAGGAAGAACAAAAATGTGTGGGTGTGTCTGAGTGTGAGAATGCTTTCAGGATTAAAGATCAAGGTAAGAATCCGCAGTGAGGGAGCTGGCTCCCTGGAGGGCTTAGGCCAAACAGCCATTCCTCCCCATCCCCACACATTTTTCTCCTCCTGCTCCCTCACTTCATCACTCAAACATGCACAAAGGACCTTGCGGGGTGGGCAAGTCAGGGGGTGCGAGTATGGATCCCATTTCCGCATTCCTGTGGTAGCCTGCCACCCAATTTTATTTGCACACAAAACACTTCCACCAACGACGTTCCACGCAAACACACGCTTAGGGCCTCGGGAGTGAGCACACTCAGCGGCATTTGGCAAGGGGATCTTTCAGCCTCATCCCGAGTGACGGTGCCCACTTCCAATTTTAAACTGCACTTAGACACAGAGGGCTGTGGGGGGAAGTGGCTCTGTGTGGTGGCATCAGCTGGCATAGGCCAGGCGATTATATAAAGTTATAGCCATCTAATGACTTGTATGCCTTTCTAACCAGGATAAATGTGTTTATTTAGATATAATTACACAGAATGTGTTCTGTAATCAGAGCAGGCAGTCATTGTCATTCGTTTTGTATTTATAGAGCTCGTCAGATAAGTCAAAAGTAGGGCTGGGATGATAATCAATAAAATCAATTAATCATGCAATAGACGAAAATTAACTCAATAATTTTTCCAGCCTTAGTATATCGAGGTTAAGAAATGTACAAGTCTATTATTATTATTATTATTATTATTATTATTATTATTATTATCATTCTTAAAGAAGTTGTCACTCCCCCCTCAGTCTTACTCCACCCACGTATCACTTTTAAAAACTGCAACATTAGTAGGCGTTGCCTGGAGGACCGAGAGGGCGGAGCCGCGGCAGTGACGAAGATGACGGCTAACTAGACGATGCTAGCCCCCTTCACTCTGAGCAGTCATTAGAAGTGGAGGAGGTTTCTCCCCCTCCTTACCCAGACACTCGAGAAGAAAGGGACCAAGTCTATTTGGAGGAGACAAGCGGACCTGAGCCTTATTGTTTTGAGCTTGTGAGCTGCCTGAAACTACAGGAACCGACCCAACAGAACCAGCTCTGAATGTAAGTAGCCGTTAGCCATAGCATCAGATTAGCTGCAGGGTTTGGCTCCACGGCCCTAGAGCTAGTATTCAGCATGTGTTAGAGGTTTATCTGCTTCAACACAACTGGCTTTAATCAGCAACAAATAGCTGAGCTGCTTAACAGCTAATCCAACCTGTTAAAGCAGGAAAACCACTGAAACTTGCTGGATAGCAGGTCTCCAGGAGCCTTGGGCTCAAGTTACAGTCTGCTGCATAAAGTTATGAAAATATCCCATGAGAAAATTATTCTGTAATGTGTTCAGCCCACTAAAACTGCCCTGATTTCTTTATTTATTTACTAATAACAGCTGCTCTCTCGGTTCTAGGTCCTCTGGTGTCTGCAGGTGGTCTCCTCTGCTGGTGTCGTCAGGATCAGGAGCTCCCAGAAGAATGTGCCTTTCAATGACTCTTTCCCCCTTATTTGTTATATTAATTAAATAAATCTCAATTGATATATTTCCTATTTTTGTTCATGTCCATAAATTCTTGAACATGCTTGAAATTAAAACAAGCTTTTAACAGTGAGGTGCTAGTTTAATTCATCACAATAGAACTAGTTAAACATGCGACAATGTGATAATTCAATTAATGTAATTTATAAATATCCATTAAAATATCAAAACTGGAATCAAAATGAGATATTTGGCAGCACAAAAAACTTGTCGAACACAATATTTATTATAATAATTGTGGGCAGACAGGAGACAGAGCTGATGGAGGTTCTCAGTCATGGAAGGATGGCTGAAGGCTTTCCAGGAACAGGAGATGTGGTGTTGTCTCTTCTCTCTCTATTCTGCCAGATGAGCTGATAGGTTACAGGTGTGAGGACATCCTCATGCTGTCACAACCAGATGACAGGAGTTATCAGGTGATCAGCCAGGCTAATGATGAGATGCAGAAAGAAAACAAATCATGCAGAAAGAAAACAAATCCAGGACAGTGTACAATAATATGTGGTGTTGCTCACCTTATGTGCTCTTGTAAGTATTAACGTGTGCCTGCCTCATGGTGTAGAGTCCATATTTTGCTGAGTGTCCTGCAATAATGCAGGTTATTAGTTAATTTACTTTTGATAGCAAAAACAAAATATTTAATGTAAAAGTTATTTACCAGGTGAATCAGCTCACACGTCACCACCAAGTGTCACAGGGCCAGAATCAGTAGCCTCCGTCATGATGTAATCACATACTTATTTAATTAATATCTTAAAAATTCTGAAATGTTTTAATTTTTTTACCTTGAACAGTTCACTGAGCTTGCACTGTCACTGAGGTGGAAGCTGGAATCAACAGCAGACACCTCACATCGTGGTCTTTTCAGGGGGTGTGGACGCTGTTCTGACTTTCTGGAAGATGAATTTCCGTCATGATCCTTGTGTCACAAGACACACTGAGGCTGTGAGCTCTTCTGGGTGGCTATGTACAACAACAAAGAAGCAGCACATTTATAAATGTTTAAAAGAGCATAAAATCACGTGTAACAATAATCTGTAAAACAAATTAAAACTAGAAGGTAATAATAAAATGTTTACATAGAAGATTATTAAAAATAATTCACCTTTGCTACACCGGTTAGGCTTCATGTCAGCCTGGACAAGTGCATTCTTGCAGCTAAATCAGTCTGACAGCCAGTGTCGTGGGTAGATTTAGCCTGAAAAAAAAATAGAAGCACATTGTTGTTGGGAGTTTATAAAGTCAGATAAAATACAAAATAAACTGTCCTATCAAGGCGCTTTATAACATTCCTAGTGTGTGATCGTTGTTATAACGTAAAAGCCAGTCACATATGATGTGGAGAGCATGAAATGCGACCTCCTGAACAGAATTTCTCACAGAACCGAGTCACAAGCTGGATTTTTTTCAATTCAATTCAATTCAATTCTTTATTTCACTCAAAGTTTAAATATACAAACTTCAAATCAGAATATAAGCATTCAAGTGAAATAGGCGGGGGAAGAAGAAAAAATCTTATATGACCTACCCCCTTTAACTAAGACAAGATAAATAACAAAAAGTACAAAATAGCCTTATACACAAAAATAAACCGCTCTCTTACTTCCACAAATAATATCACTACTAAAACATTAATCCTCCATCCTCAACTTACCAAATCATACGATTTTAGCATTTTATCTTTATACATTTTTTTGAATTGATCAGTAGTTGCACATTTTTTTAATTCATCATCCAGGTTATTCCATAATGTCACACCATATATTGAAATACACATTTGCTTTAATGTAGTACGAACAAATATCCTTTTAAACTCTGGTTTCTTTCTACTCTTATCATTTTTTGGGATTAAAACAAAGAACCTTTGTAGATTAGTTGGCAGCAAATTATTTCTAGCCTTAAACATAATTAGTAAAATTTTCAAGTTAACTAAGTCTTTGAATTTCATAATTTTAGATAGAACAAAATATTTGTTAGTATGTTCTCTTGGATTTGCTTTATGTAGAATTCGCAGAACTTTCTTCTGTAACAGAAACAAAGGATTAGTGTTTGTTTTATATGTATTGCCCCAAACCTCAATACAATAAGTTAAGTATGGGAAGATAAATGAGTAATATAATGTCTGAAGCGTTGTAATTTCTAGAAAACCTTTGACTTTGTTTAAAATTCCAATACTTTTGGATATTTTTTGTTTTATATATTTTATATGGGATTTCCAAGTAAGTTTATGGTCCAAGAGAACCCCTAAGAATCTGACTTCATTTACTCTATCGATTAAAAAACCATCAATAGACAATGTAACTAAATCATTAGTTTTTCTGTTACCAAAAACCATGAATTTTGTTTTATTCCAATTGAGAAATAATTTATTGTCATTAAACCACTTCTTAAGTTTAGACATTTCACAAACCATATTTTGAATAATAATTTCTAAATCATTTCCAGAACAAAATATATTCGTGTCATCAGCAAACAATATGAACTGTAATACTTTGGACACATCACAAATGTCATTGATATATAGAATGAAAAGCTTAGGGCCCAACACTGACCCCTGTGGGACACCGTGTGTAATCTCTAGTGAATCTGAAATTTCATCATCTAACTGTACAAATTGATTTCTATTGGTCAAATAACTACTTAACCAGTCATGGGCGATTCCACGTATCCCATAATCCCTCAGCTTGGAGAGTAAAATACTATGATCTATTGTGTCAAATGCCTTTTTTAAATCAATAAACAACCCCACTGTATATTGTTTTTTTTCTATTGCTGATGAAAGTTCTTCATTTAATTCCAATAAAGCCAGGGATGTAGATTTATGTGATCGAAACCCATACTGACTCTCACTCAGGAGGTTTTCCTTCTCAATAAAGTTATCTAGTTTCTGAACAAACCATTTCTCAAGCACTTTAGAAAACTGAGAAAGCACTGAGATTGGTCTATAATTATCAAACTTATGTCTATCACCATTTTTAAAAATTGGAATTACTTTTGTAGTTTTCATTTTTTCTGGAAATGTACCACTCTGAACAGACAAATTACAGATATAAGTGAATGGTTTGACAACATAATCAATAGTTTTCTTTACAATCATCATGTCAATCCCGTCACAGTCTGTGGATGTTTTATGTTTACTTTTCCTAACTATCGTCAAAACTTCATTTTCACTTACATCCCCTAAAAACATAGACTGTAAAATTTTGCTCCCTCTTTGTATTTTTCCAGCTTCATTAGTTTGTGTTTCCAGAGATTTGGCCAAACTTGGTCCTATGTTTACAAAAAATGAATTAAGTTCATTTACCACCTCAGCTTTATCCCTCAAGATCTTATCTCCGTTAGTAAAGAAATCTGGATAACGGGCATGCTGAGACCTGGATCTTATGACACTATTCAGAATTCTCCATGTTCTGTTCATGTCACCTATGCTTTCCTTCAGCCTTAAATTATAATGATCTTTTTTTGCTTGTCTTATTAATGATGTCAATTTATTTTTGTATATTTTGTACTTCATTTCTGTGGCTTTGGTTCGGTATCTGACAAAATCTCTGTATAATTTGTTTTTCCTTTTACAAGATTTTAGTAGTCCCTTAGTTAACCACGGTTCTACATTCATATTTATCTTTTTTCTACAGACAACTACAGGGCAGTTCTTATTATATAAAGATTTATATGTTTTTAAGAACGTATCATATGCCACGTTCACATCCTTCACATAAACCCCACTCCAGTTCTCCTTCAACAAGTCATTACAAAATGCTGTTATAGCATCCTCTGTCCTTATTCTAACATGTTTTATCTGATCTAACTCCTTAGGTTTTTTGAATGCATTTTTATGTATTATAAAAATTGGTAGATGATCACTTATATCACTAATTAGGAGACCACTGTTAGCTGTCTTCTCAATTTCATTTGTATAAATATTGTCTATTAATGTAGCACAGGTACTGGTGATTCTAGTAGGCTGAGTGATCACAGGATATAAACTCCTGCTGGACATCACATCCATAAAGTCTCTAGTCATTTTGTTTCTCTGGTTAAGTAAATCAATATTGAAATCTCCACATATTAACCAGGATTTGTTGTCATTTAATCCATCTATGAGAGTTTCGCATATTTCTTTAAAACATTGTAAATTGGAGCCAGGTGTTCTATATATACAGGCTACTATAATGTTTCTAGTTTTTTCCATTTCTATTTCAACAGCTACACATTCCATCATATCTTCCACAGCTACTGCCATGGAGTCCAGTATTTTACACTTCAAGGCACTTTTGACGTACAGTGCAACCCCTCCACCTTTTTTCTTTCCTCTGTTTGTATAAAACAAATGGTACCCTACCATATCAAAATCTGTACCCTTTTCTTCATTTAACCATGTTTCAGATAAAGCAATCACTTCAAATTGGTGCTTAAATGTTTTCATATATGCATTAATTTGGTCAAAACTAACGTAAAGACTTCTACAATTAATGTGGATAAGTGAGAAATGACCTAAATCTACAGAACTATTAAACTGATCATTTGTGTAATATTTACAGTTATCATTGATTGTATTTAACAGATTACCATCTGGATCAATATTGTTTTCATAGTCAAGTGTGTTATATTCAGTAACTTCAAATGTTTTCAGAGTTTTTACAGCAGAATTTGCCATCAACTATTTTTCACAAAAGTACCTCAACTCTTGTGACTTTTCAGAAGAGTGTTGACTCCTTTAATCAATTCATGACCAGGGCTTGTTCTCCGTTGAGCATGAACTGACTCCCATCCTGCGCTCCTCAGCGTTGATTCCAGATCGGGAACCTCTTCTGGAATATTCATGTTTACTCCAAACTCACGTAGTCCAATAGCAGCAGCATGGGGGTCACTATACACCTTCACTTTTCCATCTCCACAAAAGAGTTTCAGTCTCGCTGGAAACAAGATCCGTGACTTCACTTTTCTTTCATTGAGTATTTTCCGCACCTCCTTGTATTTAGCCCGCTCCTTGAACACAGCGCTTGTAA